AAAAAAAAAAAGCATTAAATGCGGCGGTAGCCATTTTGCATTAGTATTTCTCAGATTTGGCTTTTAAAATATTTAGAGCGGTAGCCCAAATTGCGCTGCCTTCCAAACAAAAGAGCCTTGATGCGTATACAAGTATATTTGTACACAGCTTCACACTCACACTCACGTACACACAATAGAACACAGAGAGATACAACGTATATATTAATCAATATTTTCGCTGCGCTTATTTTACTTACACAGAACTCGAAGTGGAAGCATTTTATAGCCACTTTTCTTTAGAGTATCTGTCTATTTATTTTTTCCAGTGCTAAGAAATGCGAATGTGAATTAAGATACCACAAAAGCGGGGTAGATCCACGAGCTATTATAACACACACTTTTCTTTTAATAAAACAAAGGGGGGGGGATAAAAGAAAGAAAGACCGACCCAAGCCCATGGAGCCCCAAGAAACGCAGTCCATAATTCAAAGCTCTTTCAGTGTAGACCTGAGCTCACCGAAACCTCGGTGTAAGCTCAACGGGAACCACAGAAATTCGCCCGCTTGGAAGCCTCTTCCCTCATTTCCCCTGAAGTTTAACGCCGAGTTTTTACTTTAATGCTAATAGTGCAGATTAGGCAGTTTAGCGGCATTTAGAAAATCTCCCTGCAATTCATGTTGGCTTTAACTGGAAGTTTATACTCAGGGTTTTATATAATGATTTTTTTTTTAAGGCTTTTTCTTCTTTTTGCTATCTAAATATCTTATACATGCGTAAAACTTTTTTTCCTCCCTTGCAGACCGTAAGCTCCCAAACATAACATAACGAGATGGCCCTATGTAGTGGGAGTTATCAAAGACATAAACTCAAGATTTTCTAAAATCTCTCGTATTTCTACAATACGAGCATTGCTAATTAAAAAAAAAAAAAATCACTCGCTTATCTCTTCTCTCACAGGCACGCCAGGGACACTCACTCACACACAGATGCTCACCTCAAATATTTAAAAATCTGGGCAATTTCTCTAATACTTTAAGCAAATCCATCTACGCTTTGGAAATGTGGTTATATACATACATGGATATAGGTTGAAAGCTGGGACTTCCACGTATATTAAAGAAAGTCACAGATGATCGCAATGTATAGCTTTTAACCAAGCCTGTTGGGAATTAATAGACTGTGACAAACCTATAGGATTTTAGTAGCAGAAGGAACACAAGGTAAATAATAATAGTAATAGTAAGCGCTAAGGAAAGGCCTGGTAGCGTTTATTAAACGTGGTTCTACTCCCCTGACTTTTCCTCTGTTTCTTCGCTGCTGGGCTGTGTGGAATTTATGAATTTGTTTTCCTTTTTCCATTTCATCCGCCTGTTTTGAAACCATATTTTAATCTGGCGTTCAGTAAGGCAGAGAGCGTTTGCAATCTCAATACGTCGTCTTCGGGTTAAGTATCTGTTAAAATGAAATTCCTTCTCTAACTCTAGCGTTTGGTATCTGGTGTAAGTTTGCCTCCCTCGTCTCCCATGAGTTCCATATACTGTACCTGTAGAAGTAAAGACAAAACGATCGCATTGGACAGGGCCCAGTGATTTCAGACCAGAAAGAGCCGTTACTGTATTCTGCCTCCTTTTGCAGGCACAATCACGGGGGGGGTGTGTGTGCTGATTTCCTGGAGGTTTTGGGGGTTTTTTTTGTCCCTCTTTTCCTTTTCTCCTGCCTGCCCAGCTGCAAATGCGGGTGTGCAGCGTGCTTACGGTGATGGAGTAACTGGGACACAAAGAAGCTTTAAGGTGGATCTAGGGAAAGTGAAATAGGTATCACCCTTGTGAATCGCTGCGCAGCGTCTAGCCTCTGCGTGTTGAGAGCCTGTGCGCGCACACGCACGCACACACACACAGACACACGTGTGCGAGCCGGAGAATTGTACGCATGTGTGTGTGTGCGTGTGTGTGTACACGCACATGCGGGTGTGTTTACACAAACACACCCTATTGCCATGGCTGTGACTACAGAGGGGTCTGTAATTTAAGTATAATTATAGACATCAGCTAAAGATCATAGAAGAGCCTTTGCCATTTGCTCCGGAATTCATTGCCCTCGAATGCAAAGCAGCATCAGAATGCTTTTGCTAAAAGTTTAACTTTCAAAAAAAAAAAGAAATGCGACCCACAGTCCAGCGAACTTAAACTCGGGAGGAGGGGAGTCATTAGCAAACACTGGAAGTAAATGTCTTAATACGGGATTATTAAAAATAAGTGTAATCGCAATACAACCCTCCCCCCACAGCATCACTCCTAGACAGAATAGTTCAATTATGTGAAGTTCACTTGTAAGTCAGAGAAAATCCGCGATGCCATGGAAGTGCGCCCACGGCCCTAGAAACGTGCTCTCAATATCCAATACTTACAGGCTAATGAGCTGGGGGAGGGGGGCGAGGAGGAATGTGCCACAAATGCATTGGATCCTCAATACAGAGGGCATATTCCCTACATCGCTCTCTGACAATGAAACACCGGAGCAGAAGCTTTTGGGTGGGTTT